CAATAAAACAAATGTCCTGCAAATGTAGATTGATATAACTCCCTGGGGACTGTGGCTGAATGCAATTAGTTAAACTGATTTACAATGTTTCTCTTGTTTCCAACATATTCGTATAATCACCAGCTTCTCTAAATTCTATTCAATGACAGGAGGGGGTGTATAACCTGTTAAACTGATTGCATTCAGTGAGAGTCCCGTTGAGTTAGATCAATATACATGAGCACTTCTATATCCCTGAAATCACTTCTCCACTTACAGTATGCTTCTGTCATTTCTAGTAACTGCAGGGACATGCTGATACAGTGAACTAATAGAGAGGCCAGGGACATCTGAAACCAAAAATGAGCCCAAAATTGGATTATTGCTTACATTTTTACCATAATTTTTCTAAAATTTAAGTCTCAGTTTATTATTATTATTTAAATGGTTTTTGGACACTTGATTGAGCATTGTATCATCCAGGCTGTAAATTGGTTTGAGCTAAAAGTTTTCAGGGTTGCGTGTATGTGTGTGTGTGCACGCATTTCTTTCTCTTTTGTTTATTAAAACTTATATAGGTTGTCTGCACATTTGTCAGCTTTTTCTCACATTTTCACAGATAGACAAAAAGGATCAATTTGGTATGATCAGAATTATATAATGCTTTATGAGTGGTTAGTTGTATGTTACATATTTATTATAAGGCAATCATTAACTTTGGATATTTTCATGGGCAGGTCACCAGATTGACGTTGAAGTTTTCAGTTTCCTTCTGATGGCTGCTATTTCAGACAAAACTGCAGGGTTCCAGCATGCAATCAAGGTAGGAAAAAACTTTTTTCGAAGGATTAAACTACAAAGGATTAAGGATTTGATTACAAACATGCCCAAGACTGTGTTATGTTATTCTCCTTTTTTGGCTCTTTAACTGTATATTATATATTCCCTACGTCTGCAAATCACCCATTCAGTCAGTCAGCCAGTCAGACTAGTTGTTTGTAAGTCTTAAGTGTAATGGTTGAAATCAATTTTTTTTTTATCTATTTTTATTCCCATCTAGGTGTACCACACCATGCTACAGATGAGGATTCCTCCAGATATCTATATCTTCAACCTTCTAATGGAAGCTGTCAGACTCTGTGGAGTTCAGGATGCTAATGCTGTGGTGGAATCAGGAAGGAAAGCTCAGATCATGATTCAAAAGCAGGGTGAGATGGAGACACTCCAAACCATGAAGAGGATGGAAATGAGAAAAATGAGGGAAATGAAAAAGAAAAAGAAGAAAGAGGCAAAGAAACAAGAATCCAGTGAAACGGAGAATGGAGATAGCATGAAGGCGGAGACTGTCAATTCATCAGTGAATCTTCCTGTAAAATTAACCACCACAGAAAGTGGACTAGACATCCTACCAGAAAATAAACCAGAACAAATTGAAGGTATAACCAAGAATAGACTGTCCCTGGTGGAAAAAGGGCCCTCTCAGGTTCAAGAGACACATGTACCAAATTTGCTCAAGGTGAACACCCTTGATCAGGTGGTTTCCATAGGCCCCATAGCAACTGCCAGTGACAGGCTGGCTCTGATTGGTGGAACAGCAGGCATCCTGGAAATCCTGGCGATGCATCAAATACAACCAGACGTGAGGTTTTTCACCCAGTTGCTGGACTCCGTGGAACAGAACAAAGACGCGGAGGTGGAGGTGCTGGCGCAAATGGACAAGACCGGGGTGGTTGGTGATGTAGGTTTTTATAGTAGACTGATCAGAAGGCGGAACATGAGGCAAGATTATGAGGATGCCAAGGTAGGGAATCTGGAAGAAAGGTACTCGGGTTGCAATTTTTGTTTTAAAAGTAGCTTTTTATTTGCTGCTAGAATATTACTACAATTACATGTGATGTTTTAGTGGTAGTTCAACGCTGGCATCCAAAAAAGCACTTTATAAGTTGCTCATAATTGTATTATTGGATTGTTGATAGGCTGGCATATGAGGTTTTGTAAGGATTTAAAAATAAATACAAGTAAGCTTAACAAGTGGAATAAACACCAGTTTGTTTGCTTAATATTTTGACAACTTTCTTCAGGACTTATTGTTCTTTGGACAAAATTAAGTAACAATCTTTACAGTTTTGCTTTTCTGTTTTTAGGAAGTTTTAGTGCTGATGTCTGAGAAAGGTATATTTCCCAATATGAACACATTTGGTTGCCTGGCAATGGGATGTACAAACAGACACTTGGCCAACCAGCTCTTAGAGACAATGGATGTAAGTATGAAATAATGATTGGTTGGTGATACTTTTTATGAAACGGACCTAGGTCTTTGTTGCATACCGATATACCCGTTTACAGAATCATGTAAGTGCTTTGACCAACGTGGATGAATGTAATTTTTTTTCTTCACTTACCCTGTTAATCCTCTTAAGAGTCTTTTGAGTTGAAATTATATAAGAAGCTCAATTGATGGATCATTTTTGGAATTTTAAATTCCCTAAACATAATTTTTAATTCAATTTTAATTAAAATACAGTTTATGTTCATAGTAAAAGAAACCATCCTAATGAAGTTATATTCTAAGTTAGCAAGATAAATAATTTGAAATATAGATAGTTTGCAAGGTCTACAAACACTTGTTATGTGTAAATTTCTGCTAGTCCTTAAATTCAAGTTACTGAGAATAAGTCTGTCTCTTATCAGATGGATAAAATTACTTTCTCCTTTAATTTTCACTTTCAGAGTGCAGCCTTTTATCCCAATAGTGTGATTTTTGCCATATTTGCAAAGCAATCTGGAGACAACTTCTTGTACAAACTAGATCTCCTCAAAAAGATGGAGTCCCTGGACATACAACCAAATGATAAGTTTATCATGTACATAGAGGACTCTATTGCAAAAGCGAAGAGAATCATAAAAATAAAAGTAAGTGCTAGAAGATTAAACTTTCAGGTCAGGTTTTCTGCTTGGTTGAGAAGTATATTGTAAATGTGAGTTGAATGTGGCACTTGTGAATTGATATGTATCACTTCTTTTTTTATGAATTGATGTCAACAGTCAAACCAAAAAAACAAAATCTACCACACAACTGTAAGCTGTGATTAAGTGTAATCCCTGGCTACCCACCAATCTATTCTGATTTCAATCACTTGCAGGAGTTACCCCCAGGAAAGCAGGCCAAGTTCAAGCCAGTGCCTAAATTTTGTGATGACCAGTGGTACGAGTATTATAAAACCTTCATACAGGAGTGGACTCCATGGCTTAAACGGACCATGTATCAGAAGCCTGAGCACCCCTGGTCAAGATTTGGACACGAGAAACAAGTTCAGATTCTGGCTGAGAAGCATGAAAAGAGGAAAAAGAAAAGAGAAGAATATCTTAGTGAGCTGGAAAGAATGAAGGAAGAGGTGTAAGATTGAAAGTCTAAATTTGACAAGTCAGCCAAGTGCATTTCCCCCTCTCTCTCATTTCACGTTTTACTGACCATGAACAGTGTAGAGAGATGTAGTATCTTCTATCTTGTCCCATTGTTTCATGATTTATAAAAGTAAAGAGTAAAATGATTTACTCCAAAAACTGCAATATTCAAACTTTGTACAAAAATTGTTAATAGCAGCAAATGTCTGCAGGAACCAAATATACTTGGACTCAGTCTGTTTCATAAAGTATACGTGTGAAGATTGCAACCAGATACTAGTGAAAATCGGAATTGCCATAACATTTATGGTGCTATAATTCAGTTAGATTTCAATATTTGTCATTGTTATTGACCATGAATCAGTTTACATATTATAAATATAACTATAAACTAGATATATGTACTGTTTGAATGGTATTTAATTTTTGGGTGTTGTGTTGTTGTGTTTTAACACAAAAATCTAAAAATTTAATACAGATTGAAATCTTTCACAGTGAAGGAGATTGATAAAATTTCTAGCCACAAACAGTTAGACACAAACAGTTGAAATCAAAAGGACCAAAATCGACAAATCTTCACGATTCTATTATATAGCGGGGTAGGAGGTGGCAATCTGGAGGCCTGATTTGTGTCCAACGTCATAGGTTTGGATGTGTACAGACTTCCCCTGAAATGAAAAAAAAAATACATGGACAATACATGGAATGACTTGCCGTTAATTTTAAATTGCTGAGACCAACAATGGAAAAGATCTTACATTGCATCCCTAACCGCTGCTTTATAAAAAAAGTAAATGAAAATAAAATTTAAAAAAATTCAATTGAAATGACAAAATAATCAAATTAAGCTTCATACAAATAACTGAGTAATTAATACACTGGGATTCGGGAAAATCTGTCGTCGATGAGGTCCACTTACGGCTAGTTTGATAGGACAGCGGCTGTTAGTCCTGGCCAGCGCGCACATAGTGTATACAGCCATGTCGTACTCAGGAGAGGTCCCTAGAAAGAAACTGGACTGGGACTTGCTCTTTCCGGACCACTCCATGCGGACTTTGAGAACTTTAGGCTGGAAAATAAAAACCAAACAGATGGAGTTATACTCTGTTATTTGTTATTCATGCTTTATTGCCGTTCACTGAGCGATCCATCTACCTCTCTTGTTTCAAAATATCACATTATACACTAACAAAAGTTATGCAGTGGAGAAGAGAAGAGAAGTAGTAAATGTTAATTTAACCACACCTTGGGTTTTGTTATGTTTCAACCGAAAATCATCTCATCCATATCGTTTATTCTTGTGTGGTAACAGTCCGAAAAAACGAGACATTCACAATTAACCTTTATTGAATACAATAAGCCCTCTTGTACAGTAGTAAACTAAATATGACGATTGAGCAGAAGTTGTCGAAATTGTGAAAACATTTGGTTTCCCAAAAAGGATAAACTGGCCTTCAACACAAGAACAAGGATCCCTACTGCTTAGTACCCTACCGATGTATCCACTGACAAAATGAATCCAGTGTACGTTAAGCTGCCCGCTTTCTCCAGCTGATAAAACCGGAACCAGTTGTGAAACCCGGTGACCGACGAGGGCTCTAACTCCCCGACCATCACGTGCTCGAAGCCGCTACTGTCCACGGGGCCTGAGGATGACCGCGGGTACAGCTGGAACCACAGTTCATCGAGAAGATCACGGAACACAGAATCGGAACTAGTGTATCCTTTGATATGAAAAAACTTGTTCTTAAATAGAGGATTTTTTTTAGACGAAAATGTCATTTTTTCAATATAGGTCGTTATAGGGATCTATTCAAATGCTTTTTTGTTTTATTTTTACATTTGCAGTTTTTAAGAGACTGTTGTTCTGTGATTGTTTTGATCAAGGAGTTATAACTCCTTGTTTTGATGAAGAGTGGAGTTTGTATCGTACGCTTTACAGGGATTGTAATGCAGAATGATCGTATTCGTTGGTATTTTGTCGCTAAATATCTGTATGTATTTACCTTTTTGCTTCAGGAAAGTTATCAGTGTCACCATAACGGGAGTGGTCAAAACATAATCCAGATACTGGTCAATCTCGTAGAGCTCGTCACTGCTGAGGGTCTCTAACTGACCAGTATACGGGTTGTAGTTGTCAAGAAGGGAAAAAAACAGCGAGTAAGATGGCTTCTGCAGTAGCGACGCCTCGTTCACATAGTAGAACAACCTGTGTCAAAAAGAGATGGCAATGTTTTAGTAGTTCGTCCATTCTTGTTTGTACTTTCGTCTAAAAAAACAACAGGGAGAGAGAAAAAGAGGGGGGTT